AAGGCAAGAAGAGTTGCCTGTGGTACCCTTCCCCAAACCTAAGCATTTTGTCACACCCTGAGCATATAACCTGTCAAGGCCAGCACAATGCTGGGATAGGTAAAGGACTCCCTATTAGACTCCCCAGGTCCTTGAAGGTGGGAGACTCAGGTGCAACCCAGATTTAGCACCTGTATTGGTAACCAAGAGACTGTCCCTACCATCCATCCCCCAATCTTGGGCAATACAGCTATGACCAAGCCAGTGCTTACAGAGCTCTCATACTTCCATGGCACCAGGTAGAGACCTACACTTCAAAAGGATGGGCTCATTTTGAACTGCATTACTGCCAGGTGTGATGTGGACCCTACCCTAATGTACCTGAGACTCTGCATGTCCTTGAAACAGAATCAAGCACAGCTCAGCTTAGCATCAGCCAGGTAGCCAAAGCACTGAATTCACCATTGCTATGCAGCCTTGCACAGCAAAGGGAGATGCAAAATGGCATTTTCTGGGGTGGTACCAGTTAGTAAGGATAAGATGTTGCCCTGGGACTTAGTGCTGGACTGTGGTGGTGAAATCTACAAGTGTGCCAGTATACCCAGCCTCTGAAATAGCTCTAGTGCCAAGGGAAGACATATAGCTCCAGTCTATCAGACTTCTATTTACACAATCTTGGGTCACTATGTGATAGGCAGCACATAGTGTGGGCCTTGAACCTCCCCCAGTGTTATGCTGGTCTTGGCAGACTATATCCTCAGGGTATGACACAGCTTGGTGGCCACAGGTGTGATAGAGGGGCTGGGGGCTGGTCCATCCATGGTGATACTTCCCAGAGTTGGGCTGAATCATGTAGTGCCCCACCACAGGTTGGCAACTATGAAGAAGGCATCTGAGATTACTTTGGCTGGTAAAGCCTTGTGAGGATACATCACTCTTTCTAGATATTCTAGTTTGTTTCTTTAAAGTATACCAACAGTGTATTTGGGGCAAACCTGGGCTTGGATTACTCTCTAGTCCTGAAACAGTGACAACACATGAATAGAAAACTCCCATCAAATCTGAAACTGGGTGAGCTGGCAACTACAGGCTCAGAAAAATATCTGATAGAAACAAACCATCCTGATCAGAACTTGAGAAGATATGAGCACAAACTGAGATTAGGAAGAACATAATAAATACCCAATCCTTTAATGCCTAGATGATGTCTCATGCCAACAAGAATCAAGAACTTTTCAGGAAACTGTGACCTCACTTAATACTCAAAATAAGGTGTCAGAAACAAACCAGGTAGTAAGCAGTATGGGAGATCTCTTAGAAGTTAAAAATAGCTGTTTTAAGGAAACTCGATGGACTTGAAGAGAACATCTCACTACTCCAACAGTTTAAAGAGATGTAAGCACTTTTTAAAAAATTCATGAACTATAAAAATTAAAAATAGGATAGAAGAAAGTTTGAAGACAGGCTATTTGAAAATACAGTGGGAGGAGAAAAAAAGGGTTATTGAAAGAGCAAATACTGGGGGTTCAAGAAAGACTTGAGAATGCCAAAAGAGTAGAAAATTTGTTCAAAATTCAATATTACATTTTCCTTATATACGTCATTGTATTACGTAATAATATGTGGATGCTCTTAACACCCCTTCCAGTGATGGACAGATCATCTAGACTGAAAATCAACAGTTAAATCACACCCTAGGACAAACGGCCCTAACAGATATCTACAGAACGTTCTGTCCAAGGGCTGCCAAATATGCTGTTTTTTTCTCAACAGCACATGGAACATTCTCCAAGACAGATATGATAGGCCACAAAACAAGTTCTCATCATATTGAGTGACTGAAATTAAAAAAAATAATACATGGAAATCAAATAACTTTCAACCAGTGGATCAAGGAAATCAGGAAGGAAATTTTTAAATTTCTTAAATGAAAATGGAGACACAAAATACCCAAACCTGTGGGACTCAGCAAAAGCAGTACTAAGAGGAAACATTAGATCAGTCAATGGTGTCAAAAAAAGTAGAAATTTCTCAAATAGCCATTTGTTCTTATTTTCTCATCCCTCAAGATAAGTGAAACAAACTCAATATTAGTAGAAAGAAATAATGATCAGAGTAGAAATAAATGGAGACCAAAATCAAGAGCTGATTCTTTGAAGAGCAACAAAATAGACAAATTATCAGCTAGACTAAGAAAAGAAAAAGACTCATAAACTCAAGACTTTATAGGTAGACATTATACGTAATACCAGAAAAATAAAAAAGAGCATTAGAAATGATGAAATATATGCCAAATTTGATCATGGAAAAATGTGACAGAACCAATAATAAGTAAAGATTGAATCACTAATTAAAAAAACAAAAGAAAACAAAAAAAAAAACAGGGCTCCTATCCAGAAAAGCCAGGACCAGATGGCTTCACTACTCAATTCTACAAAACATTTAAAGAAGAACTAATACCATTTCTCTTTAAGTTAGGAAGTAATTCTTTTAAACACATTCTACGAGACCAGCATTACCCTAATGCCAAAACAGATGAAGATACAACAACAATAATATAAGAAGAAGAAGAAAAAACCCACAGGTTAATATCCTTGAAAAACATAGATGTTAAATCCTCAACAAAATCTAGCAAACTGAAAGCAGTAGCACATTAAAGAGATTTTTCACCCCCATCAAGTGGGATTGAGAGGGAAAGAGGTCCAATACGTGCATATCAAAAAATGTAATACACCATGTCAAAAGAAGTACAAAAAGTATAATTTCAATAGATGCAGGAAAGACATTGGATAAAATTCAAAATTCTTTTGTTCTAAAAATGCTGAACAAATTATATAGGCAAGGAATATACCTCAACAAAATAATGACCATTTATATTAAGCCAATGGCTAACATTATCTTGAATGGGGAAATGCTGAAAGCTTTCTATGTAAAATCTGGAACAAGACGAGAATATTCACTTCCATCACTTTCATTCAACATAATTCTGGAAGCCAGAGCAGTCAAGCAAGAGGAAGAAATGAAGGGTATCCAAATTGGAAAAGCCATGAAATTGTCACTGTTTGCAGATGACATGATTAAATAAAACATAAAACTCCAAACACATACCCCAAAGCTGCTAGAAGTAACTAAGCAACGTTTCAGGATATAAAAATCAACATATAAAAATTAGTAGTATTGCTGTTCACCAGCAGCAAATAATCTGAGATAGAAAGCAATCCCATTTATAATAGCTATAGAAATAAAATACCTAGGAACAAATTTAACCAAATAGGTGAAAGATATATACAATGAAAAAAAATCTAAAAATATTGATGAAAGTAATTGAAGAGGATACCAAAAAGCAGAAAGACATTCTGTATTCATGGGTTAGAAGAAACAATATTGTTAAAATGTCCATACTACCCCAAGTGGTTTTAAGATTCAATTTAATCACTTGTCAAAATATCAACGATGTTCTTCACAGAATGATAAACAATTATATGGAGACACTAAAGTCCCCAAATAACTAAATCTATCCTGAGCAAAAGGAACGAAGTAGAAGGTACTATACTACCCTATTTAAAAACACACCACAACACAGTTGTAAATCAAAATAGCGTGGTTTGGGCGTAAAAACAGACTTGCAGAACAATGAAATAGACTAGAGAGCCCAGAAGTAAGGTATCCACATACCCACAGACAACTGATTTTTGATAAATGTGCTAAGAAATGCATTGCACAAAAGGATCGTCTTTTTAATAAATGGTGCTGGGGAAACTGGATATCCACATGCAGAAGAAGAAAATCATACCTATTACTAGCTACACAAATCATTTGAAAATGTAACAGTGTAGAGACAGCCTGCAGATAGGCAAAAATATTTACAAAGTATAGATCTGACAAAGGATTGATATCTACAATATAGAAGGAACTCCAGAAACTCAACAGCAAAACAAAACTGATGAGAAATTGGAACTAGGTATAAATGGACATTTCTCAAAAGAAGACACACATGGCCAACAGATATATGAAAAATGTTCAATATCGTTAATAATCAGGAAAATGCAAATAAAAACCACAATGAGATATCACCTCACCCTAGTAAGAATAGATGTTATCTAAAGGATAACAAATTCTGGATAGGATGTGGAGAAGAGGAAACCCCTGCACAATGTTGGTAGGAATATAAATTAGTATAGCCATTATGAAAACCAGTATGGAAGTTCCTAAAACATTTTAAGATAGAACTTCCAGATAATCCAGCAATCCCACTACTGGGTATATATTCAAAGGAAATGAAATTTGTATGTTAAAGAGACATCTTTGGGCTGGGGCTATAGCTTAGTGACAGAGTGTTTGCCTAGCTGATATGAGGCACTGGATTCAATCCTCAGCACCACATAAAAATAAACAAAGGCATTCTGTCCATCTATAATGACCAAAAAAATTTTTAAAAAAGAGACCTCTGTACTTTCATGTTCATTACAACACTATTTACAATAGCTAAGAAATAGAAGTGTCCATCATCTGATGAAAATGCAATATGTGTACACAACAGGATACTACTCAGCCATAAAAAAGAATGAAACCCTGTCATTTGTGACACTGTGTATAAAATGGAGACCATTACATTAAAGTGAAATAAGCCAGGAACAGAAAGACAAGTTCCACATGATCTCACTCATGTGGAATCTAAAAAAGTTATCTCAGAGGAGTTGAGAGTGGAATGGTGGGCTGTAGGGGTGTATCTGGGCTCAGAATCTTTAGATGTGATTGTGGTTTGGATATGTAGTGTCCCCCCAGTGACACATGCATTGGTCCCCAACATAGCAAAGTTTAGAGGTGAACTTTTTGGAAAGCGATTGAATCATGAAGGTTATTCTCATCAGTGGAGTAATCCATCCATAGCTGAATGGACTACTGGGAGGTGGCGGAAACTATAGGGTGATGGGGCACTGTTGGAGGAAGTAGGCTATTTGGGGCATGCCCCTTAGGGACTATATTTTGTACAGATCTCTTCCTTTCACTTTGTTTTCCAGCTGCCATGAGCTGAACAGCATTCCTTCATGATGCGTTTCTGCCAGGATGCTCTTCCTCACCTCGGGCCCAAAGCAATGGAACCAGCCAGCCAAGGACTAAAAGCTCTGAAACCATGACCAAAATAAATCTCTCCTCCTCGAGGTTGCTCATCTCAGGTGTTTGTCGCAGTGACAAAATACGGATCAACACAGATGCCTTCAAAATTACATGCAAATAAAGGATGGTTTTTGTAAATTTTTAAGGTGCCCTTAAAGAGTCACTGTGTTTTTGGCAAAGGAATCTGTTGTGATATAGTGAGTTTAACAGGGATGGTCCAAGAGCTCATCTGGATAAGCTCAAGGGCTCATCTGGATGCCAAGTGAGGCCTGGGTAACTACAAAGCAAGCACCTTTTACAGAAGTGAGTGATGTTTCCATGAAGGACCAGGTCCAGCCGTGGCTTTACCCACTGGTGGCCTCAGTATTGCAAGGTATGTTTAAACCAAGTCATGTGCTGTTTAAAACAGTTAGTGGTAAAAAGAAAAAAGGGCTGCCATTATTTTTTATTATTTTCTAGTAATATATGGCTTTTGAAATTTACTTTGTTCTCATTGAATATGTTGATTCATAGAACAGAGAGCTCCCTTACTCCCAGATCACACAGAAAACATACCACATGTATAATCTGAGCTCAGAAAGCTCAGAAACTTACCATCAGGACCTGTAGTGTTTTCTGTGTCACTGGAGCCTTGACTTTTCACAGACTCTATAGGTGTGTCCGAGACTTGAACTGAAAGAGGGGAATAAGACAGTCCCTGATTAATAGAGAACTATAACAGCCTGACTGCCAATTGTTCTGTCACCCTCCATTGCCCTCTTAAATTTAAAAATACTCCTGGGATTCAACTTCTTTTGCAGAGAAGGTTAAAGGAGGAAATAGTGGGTTGAGTTGCTAGAATACTTTAAAGCCATCTTCCAAGTTCTTTTTAATTTGTGAGAGAATCGCAAACATACATACACACAATTTATTAAATCAGAAATCAGGTAGCATAAAAGAAAAAAATGTGGTTTAATTAGCACAATGTTCAATTTAAATTTAGGATACTCTCTATGTGTGCATCATTTAACCTTTTATTATAAAGAAAAACAAAACAAAAACAAAACAAAAGCCTCTTTTGCCTTAGGCATGCCTGAAAACTGAAGAATTCATTCTCCTGACACTGAAGGATTTTCATTGTTGTTGTTATTGTTCCAACAAATGAATGACTTATTGCCTCCCTAGGAGACCTTAGCTGTTGCCATTGTGGATTGTGGAGTATCCAGTCAGAAATTCTGGTCATTCTCTATCAACTTCAAAAGTATGCCATCCATTTACTGTGCCAGACGCAATAGCCGTTCTTAGAAGTGACAGGATGTGTTTTAATATTAGGAGAATTTTTCCATATACTCAAAAGGACAATCATCTCTTACTTTTTAGTTAACAATATCTATTATGTTTTCCTAACTTAAAGAATAAGGATATTGGCGAATACAGATAGAAGTAAAACCCTAGAAAAATAGTCACTTTACATTATTTTCATACTTCTTTTAAACAGAGGTTAAATTCATTTTCATTATGTGAATACAAGAGCAGAGATGATGTTAAATGTGGTGTGCCTGCTGGTGAGAATGATGCAAGGATGGGAAAGATCCAGTTTATAACCTTTTCAATCTTTTCATTATGGAAAATGTGTGCTCTTGGTAATGAGTAACTGGAGCTCACAGTCCAGAGGTTTGACTGAGAAGTGACTGAGCTCCTAGCCCAGGTGGATGGATGGTAGGGAGGTCAGAACTTGAAGACAAAATAGCTGCACAGTGGGAAAAGACAAAGAAAATAATTTTAGATTTGAGGTCTAAAGTCAAAGATGATTTAAGTGGAGATGCCCCAATAGACTTTTACATTGAGTGTAAAGGAAACTGTGAAGTAAACATGTAGGTATTGAGAGACATAGAATAGAGTAACATCAACGATATGAGATTACATAAATCAAGAAAATGATAATATGAGAAAGAGAATATAACTCCTAAAGCCCTTGAAGGATTACAGGAAAATAGCTGTCCATGAGTTCTTTCCATTTAGTCCCTGAGGATGAGGTTGGGAAAGGGAAAACAAAACTTAAAACTTCCAGCTGAACTTGTTAACACTATGTCATATCCTTCCTTACACTGCCAATTCTAGAATTGGCATCAACACACCCTTTTACACACAATTACAGAATATACTGATAGATATAGGCTGTGCTATATCTGACTCAAAACATAGAAGTAATAAGGGAAAAATGGGAATATTTTATTTCATAAATGTAATAAGTTTTTTTTTTTTTGTAGGGGTGGGGAGGTACCAGGGATTTGAACTCAGGGGCATTCGACCATTGAGCCACATCCCCAGCCCTTTTTGTATTTTATTTAGAGACAGGGTCTCATTGATTGAGTTGTTTAGCACCTTGCTTTTTTGCTGAGGCTGGCTTTGAACTTGAGATCCTCCTGTCCCAGCCTCCCAAGCCACTGGGTTTACAGGCAAGCACCACCGAGCCCGGCCATAATAAGGTTTTGGATGCAAAAATACCACAAGGAATATTTTTTGAGTTACAAATTAAATATTAATATTTGTGTTTTATCAGAGGCAAGGGGTTAATAATAGCAACAATATGAGCTTCTAAAAATAGAAACAAACTAATAGGAAAATGTGTAAGAGGCTTGATAGGCAATTCATAAAAGAAGTAATAATGGCTTGTAAACGTGTGAAAAGATGATTCCCTTTGCTAACAGTGAATGAAATGCAAATCAGAATTACAGTGAGAAAGATTTCTGCTTAAGGTTGACTGTCATGTTTCAGAATAACCCTCTTACCATGAAAAGCTAGAAATGCTGGACAGATTATTAAAAACAATTCTTTTAAGGCACCAGAGAGCCATAAATACAGAACAAACTCAAAGAGGTGCAAAGGGTAGCTGACATTCTACCTATGTCAACAAACTGAAGACAGCTTCCAAATGTTTTTGAGGTTTAGGGGAGGCAAAAATTAAAGACCAGGGCCCACCAACAAAGAGGTACTCTGGTAAGTAAGAAAACAAAACAAAACAAAAACTTCAAGCCTCAAGTTATGCCTATGGTTTTTCAAACAAAATGTCCTGCATCAATAAAAAAATACCTGGCATTCCAGAAGTACAAGAACAAATCACTGAAAATTGAGAATAAAAAGACAACATATAGACACATATCAGACATTCAGATTTTTAGACACAACTAAAATAAGATTAATGTGTATAAGAAATTGGATGCCAAATTGAAAAAATTTAATAGCAAAGAAGTTTATCAGAGAACTGAGCCCTATTCATGTCAGAAGAAAATTCTAGAACTGAAAAAAATATCATTTAATAGGGGGATTTGATAGTAGGTAGACACAGTTGAAGAGGGGATTAGGAAACTGAAAGATAAGGCAAAGCCTAAAATACAGGTAAAAAACAGATATAAGAAATAGGATTTATCCTTTGTGTAATGGGTCAAATGCAGTATTTTAAGAGATAATGACAAAATTAATGGATGATGTAATATCAGACCACTATTTCAAGGGTGTTATAACACTAAGTAAAATTAACACAAAACAAACCTCGTTTGGGCAAATCTTCATAAAGATTGTTGAAAACCAAAGGTGAAACTCAAATTATCTAGGGAAAATAATCATTCATTTTAAAATAGCAACATAAGGCTTGTAGATAAGTTTGCAACAAAAATAATGGAATTCAGAGACAATACAATGGAATATTTTAAGTACTAAAAGAAATTAAAACTCTATACCTTCCCCCCACCAAAAACAAACAAACAAAAAAACTCATCAAATTTGAATTTGAAATAAAGAAAAAAATACTTCAGGAAAAAAGAAAACTTATCAGTAGATTTACACTGAAAGAATAGTTTCCACTACTCAAAAATAAATTCCAGGTAGACTTAAGAACTGATTGTAAATGTAACATAGATAAAGATCTGTACATCATTAGACAAACATTTCTTTTCAGGACAAACAAAACACTAACCATTAAGGAAAACTCTGGCAACCTGTAAAACATTAAAATTAGCAATCTTAAATTCATCAAAACGCAACATAAGAAAGTGCAATGGCCTCTTTCACAGAATACCTAAAAAAAAATAAATATAACATAAAAAGAGAGTACCCAATTGAAAATGAGCAAGATACACTTGAATATACAGGCATATTTCTAAAGAGGATATTTTGGTTTTTCACTGGATTTTTTAAAATGACTTCTACCAAATCTCAGAGCATGTTAAGGCCTTCACTTTTTTTTTTTAACTAGTAAAATAACTATAGATTCTTTGACTCCTTACTTCTATAGGATGCCATCAGAATTAAAACATTGTTACTTTTTATAAGAAATGATTACTATGGAAGGAAAATTAATAAGACTAATTCTACTTAAATATGGCTTCCTTGACTTTCTTCTTAGGGTCCTTGTTTTTGATGGGATCAAGAGGAACCTGTGGCTAATTGACTCAGGAAATCCTTCAATCAATGGGGAAAGCCCTTTGGCAGCATGGAGAACTTTCTATCAAATAGGCAGGATGCCAGTTTATTACACGATACTCAGTGAAAAGGAAGAATGATAAACACTTTTAAAGGTGAAGAGGAAGGGAAAAGTTAGGAGAAACAGAGAAAAAAAAAATTCAAAAGGCAAATCAGAAAACATTAAATTCTTAAAATGCTTGTCCTATGCCTGTCCTTTTAACCTCATTATTTTACAATGGAATGTGTGAGAAGTCTAAGGTTTTGCACTGTGATGAAACATAATTAACATGAGATGCAGTGACAAGTATGAGATCCAAAACAAAGAGAAGAGCAGAAATCAAAGTTGTAGCTCTATCTACTACTGCATTCCTGAAGCAGAGTGAAGCAGTGTCTATTAGATCCACTTTCAACTCAAGGTTTGTCTGGTAGGTATTTTTTAATTTTATATCTTACGTGTACAATATGTGTACATGTGCCACGAATATGTGCATTGGCATGCCGTGTAAATTTGCATAGCCATATGTATATGTGCACAAGTGTGGTTGTGTATTTGAAAAAAGGGAGAATGAGAGACATTTGTTTTTCTGACATGCATGTGGAACTGGTATTACCCTAACGGCTACTCTCCTGCTGGGCTATGCAACTGAGTGCCCCAGAGAAAT